GAGCTTGGGGAACCCACACGAGTGAGAAATGGAAGGGAAAGCTCATCCCGGTGGTCGTCTGATTCTCGCTAATGGAGTCTTGGAAAAATCGTTTCGCCCTCCTGACCTATCTCACCAGTGCTATCAAGTGACCTCGGGGAGTTACTTTCATTTATTGGAAAACACGTGGGACCAGCTCTCAGCATGAGGGAGTGCAGTCTGCTTCTCAAGTTCATCTGTCTCTTCCTTCACTCCTGCTCACTCCCAGGGCCAGTGCGAAGCACCCAGAGGGTCAACTGTCCGAGTGCCCTGCTCCCGGCTGCTCCCTCCTCTGATCCATGATGACATCATAACAGGTGTGACTCATGCTGCACCCAAGCCTTCATTCCCCTGTTGCACACCTCCACTGCATGCAGAATGTGTGGGGGAAGCTCAGTCTTGGCACATGCACATTTCACTTCCAGCTGCCTGCCTGGACCTAAGTGGATGCCCTGCGTGTCATCCCTACAGCTGGAGTCTGGGCTTGACCGGTGACCTTAGGCCTCTGGGCTGTTAGCAGATGAGTCTCATGTGAAGTCCTGAAAGGCACTTGCCTGTTGGGCTCAGCCTCTTGAGCTCTGGCCATCTGCCAACGAGAAGAGCTTGTCCCAGGCGGTTGCTGGCTCATGGAGGACGAGAGGCATGGAGTGGACTGGGGCCAACCTGCAGGGGAGCCTGGCACAGTCACACCAGTGTAGATCAGCTGCCCTGCGGCTGCCATTCCTCAGAGCCCAGGGTGGGGAACTGGTGCCCATCCGTGGGGGTTGGAGGGTGTTCATTAGGCAGCACGGTTAGGGCGAGAGCTGACATTGATGGCCACCACATAGGACAGTTATTTGCCTATGAGTTTTTTTCTCCTCTAGGATTGAGACGTTAAAGGCAAAGACCTCACTTGTCCTCATTCTAAAGACATCTCAGGATCTGCCGTAGAGTAGGTGCTCAGGAACTCTAGAACAGAAGCAGTGCCATGGGAAGCAAATAAGGAGAGGAGAGATAACTGGGACTGGAGGATCGATGACCTCACGTGCTGATGATGACAATGCCCGGGCACTAGCTGTGTTCCAGGCAGAGTTCTCACACTCCTAAAATCCATTTCCTCATCCATGTTAATACCCGTGGGTGTCAGTTGAACCGGGGCTCCGCGGGGCTGGGGGGTGAGCTTTTCAGCAATCCTTTGCTCCTGCGATTTCTCAGGCTGTGGGGTGGGGACCCCCGAGGTGGAGGCCTGTGCTGCAGCTCCCTGGCTGGAGGCGATGGAGCCAGGACTGAAGTGGTTCCCGTTTGCTCCAAACCATGGTGAGATAAAGGTGGTTCTCCCCAGGCACAGAGGGTGAGAAGGCCAGGGAGAGAGGCACTGAGTGTGGGGACAGTGAGCCCTGGGAATGCTGAGAACAGGCCTGTGGAGGGGCAGGGCTGCAATGGCCCTGGAGGGGCCCGTGGTGAGCAGGCGGGTTCCACTCTGAGGGGTGCCAACGTGCAGAGCTTGGCAGCCAGCACAACCTCATGGTTGGCTTGTCCGGGGGGCCCTGGGTCTGGGCTGACCTGGCTTCCTGGAGCTCCTGCAGCACCTGAGGTCCATCTTTGCCGATTAGGCTTCCTGCATGCTCCCTGTCTTATTCATCCTCAGGTGCCAGGGCCACACACTCTGTGACAATAACAAGTGGTTACTGAGCACATGCCAGAAAGTGTGCTGAGCATGGTCCTGCACTCCGTGACCCGGGAGGGGAAGCTGCATCATCCCCACTTTACAGAGAGGGAAAGAAGCAGATTGCACTCCCTAATGCTGACCCACTGATGGCCCCCACATGGTTGTCCTCCAGCTCCACCAGGGAGGCTCTCGCTGGCGTCTGGTGTTGCCCTGCCCATGGTGGGGGTGGTGTGCAGGGAGACCCAGCTCCTCCTCCCAGTCCCATCTCCAGGCTGCTGCACAGGGCAGCCCTGCTGGGGACAGCGTGGGAGGACCATAGGAGGGAAGGCTGCGGTCTGCTTTATGTTGGAGTTAGACCAGCCCCTCCAATGGCTCAAGCAGCATCTTTTGGAGACCAAGAAAGTGCCGACCACTTGTTAAGAGTGGTCACTGCCATCTGCTGAGAGAGTGTTCCAAGCTGTGTTGGTGACCATGGTCCGTGTACCCCCAGGACTGGGCAGTGTACAACTTGGACAAGGTGTGTGGAGGCCCTGATCGCACATGCTTTGCAGTCTTGTTAGCTTTACCCATGAAATAGGGTTTTATAGGCATTACAGGGAGCTTTCTCATCACCATGACCAAAGGCCCAACAAACAACTTAGAGGAGGGAGAATTTATCTGGGGCTCACAGTTTTAGTCCATTGACAGCTGCCTCCATCGCTCTGGGCCTCAGGTGAGGCAGAAGGTCATGGAGGAAGGGTCCAGTGGAGGGAGGCTGCTCAGCTCATGGTGGTCTCAGGAAGTAGAGAGGGGAAGGGGCAGCCTCAGTGCCCCACCTGCTCCAGCCATACCTCACCTGTCCACAGTGACCACCCAGTTAGTCCATTCCAACTGGGGTGGACTGACGAGGACACAGCTCTCACAATCCAATCACTTTACCTCTGAACAGTTCTGCATGAGCAGGGGCTTTTAGTCCTTGTAAAAATTGGCTTTAAGTAGTAACAGTTATTTCATTATTACCATTGAAATTATCAGGCTTCAATTCAATGGAAATGATTTATAATATTGATAAAAGCATTTGGTATTTATAGCAGCTTTATAATTTTCCATTGGGGGTTCAAAACTGTTTTTTTTTTTTTTAATTGCCTGGTACAGCCAGGGATCGGTCATCATTATATCCATTCTACAGATCAGTAAATTGACTCACGTTATTCAGTGACTTGGACAAGACTCGGGAATGTCAAAAGCAACATTTCAGCCCCCAGGATTCTCACCCAGGTTTTCATGGCACACCTTGCCCTGCTGAAGCAGAAGGGACATAGGCAATGGGAGTGTGTGTGTGTGTGTGTGTGTGTGTGTGTGTGTGTGCATGTCCCTTCCTGCTGTGTATGCAATATCTGTGTACATGGTATGTCTGTGGTGTGTGTGCATGTGTGTGCATATGATGTGTGCATGGTATGTGTGTATGTGGGGCATGTTCAAAATGTACCTTGGCTAAAAGTCTTTGTAAGTTGGCTTTCATCACCGTCTCAGATTTATTGCTTTAATTTGCGGTGGCTTTGGATACACAGGAGCTGCATTTCTTTCTTTCTACCTCAGTTTGAACCTGCCCATAGGGTGTGAGAATATATTTTTATATTTCACCCTCTATAGTTTTCTCCTCTGGAGACCAATGTTAAGCAAGACAGTGATTTACTTGGACTCGCGGGTCAGCACACTGTGAACACATCCGTGTCTATCATGCTCATACTTTATGGCTAAAAGCCTGTGGACTGAGCCAGCCTTGAAGATCACTGCTGTCCTGTGGACATGCCAGTGTTTCCAGAGGACTGGTGGCCTCGCTGTTCCACTTACTATCACCTCGGTACATGTCCTCTACTATGGGACCACTCCCACCAGGCCCACTCCCTGAGTGGCTCTCTGGGGCTGCTGCACAGCTGTCTGGGTTTGTCCCCAACCATGCCAATCCCCAATCAGCTGGCCACACAGAGCCATGTCTGGACATCTGTCTTTCCTCACGTGGCCTCAGAGAGGCTGCCACTGACCCATCTGCTGCTTTTGGAAAAGGGAACATGAGGCCTGGGGACTGTGTCACTCAAAACTCTGTAAAATGTAAGTAATCAAATGATATGGGGAAGGAAGAAAGGGTAGAAAAGGAGGCAGGAGGGAAGGAGGGAGAGACAGGAGCAGAGGTCTGCGCTTTGAGACACAAAGACCACATGGTTGGGTTCTTCCCTACCTTTGATCCTTCTCTGCAGATGCAGATTCCCTGTCTCTCCCCTTCCAGGCAACAGTCCCCAGGCAATCGAGTCCTCTGGGGCTTGATTCTGTTTCCTGATGTCACTCCTCTTGTCTGCCACCCCCTGCCCTGCCATGTATGCCAGACTCCAAAGCGTCACTGGTGACCCCTCCTTTCTCATCCCCATTTCCCATCCATCAGCAAACCTCATGACCTTCCTTCATTGTGTCAGTTCCCTGTCTCTATGGCAACTCCCAGCACATCCCCAGTTCCATGCTCCAACTCCAGCTGTGCACCCTGCGTGCAGCCCTAGGGGCACCCACCACTCCTGCCACCCCTTTGCACGGAGCTGCAGGGTCTGCATTGCTCTTAGGGCAGTATCTGACGACTTACCGTGGTCTCCAAAGCTCTGAAGCAAGTTCTTAGTTGCAACCACAGAATACTCTCTGTAGAAGAGGAATCTGTTGATGAATGGTTTGTAGCTCTCAGGGTCTCTGGAAGGTAAAGAATTGGGCCTGGGACTCCACTGTCACTGGGAGTGTTCTGTCCACTGCTCAGATGTCCCAGCTGCACTGAGCCCTGAGGGTCAGCAGCAGCCCTGTAGAGGCCTCCCTATACTGGCCTTTCCTCCCTCCCTGCCCCATTCTCCTGCCCTGCTTCCTGGGAAGGGATCATCTTCCAAATCAATCCAGTACATGTGAGTCCCGCTCAGGTGTGCTTTGGGGGAAATTGAAACTGAGTCAACACTATCCTTGTGTTCTGGCTTTCTGTCTGGGGATGGTTGTTCAAGGCTTCCCCCTGAGCCTGTGAGCTCCATGGGGACTCACCACACCCTGACTGTGCTTCCTGGCACATGGTGTGTGTTCAGAAGTCACCTGTGAGATGAAAGAAGGATGGCTGTTGGTGCAGCGTGCTCATCAAGGTGGTGCCAATCACCCTGTGTGCCTGGCACAGTGTTCACTGGCACTTTGTGTGGCCTGGATAAATCTGCAAGGTGTGGCTTTCAGCTGACCTTCACTCAGCCTCTCTGGCCTAGGAAAGGGGAGCTAGTATGCTAGAGCTCTGGCCAATAGGGCTCCCAGGGGGAAAGTCAGTGTCTTGGAGGAGCGTGAGCAGGCGAGACACAGAGATGGGTGGAGCTGACAAGGTCACTGGATGCCCCATGTCCTGCCTCATCCTGGAAAGGACAGACACAGGAGCCTGGTCTGCTGGCAGGCCCCCTGCTGGGCTGGCACAGGAAGACCTCTGGTGAGTTCTCTTAAGCCTGGATTGTGGGAGCCCTGCCTGAGGGTGACAGGCTGGGGCAGGTGCTCCTGCCTGAAGGTGCTAGGCTTGGGGAGGTGTCCTGCCTGAGGGTAATAGGCAGGGGACATGCTTTTGCCTGAGGGTGGCCAGGCTGTAGGAGTTCCTGCCTGAAGGAGTGGATGGGAGGGGTATTTGCTTTTATTCTAAACTAGGAGCTGCAAACGTTTTTCTGTCAAGGGCCAGATAAAAAGTATTTCAGGTTTGAAGGCTGGGTCATAAGGCCCTGCTGCAACTACATGGCTCAGCCATAGAATCAGGGCAGCAGCCACAGCCATCTGTAATCCAGCAGACCTGCTTGTCTTATAAAACTACACAGGGTGTCATGTGGGCTTTCTGGCCCCAGTTTGCAATCCCTGCTTTAGAGTGACCTCAAGGCTCCATCCTGCCCTCTGACAGGCAGGCCGGTGTCCCTGTGTCCGGCACATGTGGCATCTCACCTCCAGCTGCAGGAGGTCTGGACTCAGCTGAGCTCTGACAAGTCACCTGGACTTGTTCTCCAGGCACCTCCCTGGCTCCTCCTTTTCACATCAGAACACCAGCAGGAGAGGTGCAGACCATGTCTTGTGGGGCACAGCAGCTGGTCTTAATCCCCCCAAATTGGCTGTGCGCCTTTGGCTAAGGGACTCAGCCTCTCTGAGTTGAGTTCACTTGTCAGCAGGAACAACGTAGGGAGGCACTGAAGCCAGCTGAGGGGTGCAGAGGTCACACAAGGAAGAGCTGAGCTGCACACTCAGGGGCTGGTGACGTGCAAAGGAAGGCAGAGAAAACTGAAGAGCAGGAAGAGGAAGGGCACAGGGACTAGCAGGCCTTTTCTGGGGGAAGCAACTCTCATTTGGGGGCATTGAACAAGCAGAAGTGCTCTTCCTGGCCAGCTATTGTCTCCTGCTTGCCTCTCCAGGGACTTGTGAAGCTCCAGTGAGGTACAGCGTGTGTTGTGGGCACCCAGGCTGAGCAGAGGCCTGGATCCAGCGTCTGTCCCTGCGGGCGTTGGATTTGCTTGAGCTAATCAGCCTGGGGAAGCAGGAGGGGATGTCCAAGGCTGCCCTGTGGCCTGAGCTGGAGGCCAAGCCCACACAGTGCTGTGTCCTCCCAGCTGTGGAACAGGGCTGAGTCCTGAGTCCCTTTCTTCACAAACTCTAGAGGGGCCCGCAGAGCCAGGATAGAAGGCTTCCAGCTCACAGGCTGGGAGCTGTGAGTCTGGGTCCTATTCTCACAACAGAAGATGCTGTGTCTGAGCAGGTAGGAGCCAAAGGGCAGGCTCCTGAACCCCATGTGGCACTCCTGCATCCCCTGGACCTGCCAGGTGTGTGTGTGTGTGTGTGTGTGTGTGTGTGTGTGTGTGCATGCTGTGTCCTGGTCATTCAGTCAAGGAACTGTATTACTGAAGGGCCAACCCCCTTCATTCCTCTCTGAAGGAGTGGATGGGAGGGGTATTTGCTTTTATTCCTCTCCTAGGGGAGCCAGCAGGGCCTGATGCAGACCTGGGGTGCATCTGGCTCTAGGCCTTGGACCGGTGTAGGTTTTCTAAGGCAGAGGCAATGGATCCCACAAGAGGTGGCTTAAAATAGCAGGAATCCATTCTCTCACAGCTGGGGAAGGCAGAAGTCCAAAGTCAAGGCAGGGCAGAGGCTAAGGCAGAATCCGCACCACCCTTCTCCCCCAGCTTCGGGCAGCTGCCGGCAATTCTTGGTGTCCCTCGACTTGTAGACCCATCCCCTCCGCTTCTGCCTCTGTATTCACGTGGCCTCCACTCTGTGTCTCAAATTCCCCTTTCCTTTCTTTTATAAGGACAAATGTCATTGGATTACGGTCTACCTGAAACCTAATAGATCTCCTCTTGAGATCCTTAACCTAATTTTACAGGCAAAACCCCTATTTCAAAATAAGGTGACATTCACAGTTACCCTGGAGCTGGGACTCAGAAGTGTCTTCTCAGGGCCACAATCCAGCGCACTAGAGTGGGAGTGCGCCTCGTCAGCACCTGCTCGCCGGCCCCTGATTTGTCCTCCTGTGGGGTCTCCATACAAGCCGCTCTTTCTAGCCAGTCACCCAGCCCCGGCCTGAACCCTCCATCCAGCTCTGCCTCAGGGTCTTGCTTTCTGGGTTTCCACTGGGAAAGCAAAGGGCAGAGGTGACATCCCTTTGGGGGCCACAGTGTAGCATCCGGGTGCAGGGTGGAGAACATTTTTAATAAGGATTGGGGGATGAGAGGCCACCCAGAGGTGGCCCACAAGGCTGATGAGGCCAGAGTCCACTTACCTCCCTGTCCTTCTCCCACTCTGAGGAAAGGCATTTTCTCTGGGAGTGAGTTTTCCCAGAAAAGATTCTTAAAACAATGCCCTAAAAGCTCTTCTCAAAACCACACCTAAAAACAGAAGCCTTGCTGCTCAGCATCTGAACTCCTGGCAGGGAAGGAAATTAAAAAGACACAGGAAATTGGCCCGAGTCTAGGAGGCAGCCTCGGAGGGAGCTGGTTCTGCAGCAGGGCGTCCTGGGGAGGAAGGTTCTCTGCTTCTCTGTTGCTTTCAGAAGTGGTTTCAGCCTCTCCTGGACCTGGGTAAAGAGAGGGGAGTTCCACCCCAAGTCCTGCGGCGCAGCAGGTGGTTTAGACACCTGCCACTAGCCTCAGGCAAGTCACCATGGTGCTCTGTGCCTTCGATTCCTTGTCTGAAAAATAGGAGTAATCAAACCTGCTCTCAGGACATCCCAGAGGAAAACATAAAATAAGACAGGAAAGGGTAGAGACCCGAGCCTGGCACAGAAGTGCCCAGGAGGGTTGTCCCATGCAGGGCTCTGGGACACTTGATGGATGCTTGATGGAGTCAGCAGGCTTCTCTTTCCACAGAGCTTCTGTCACTTGTCCAAACTCTCCAGGAAAAGGACAGCATCCAGAGAGACACCAGGTCTACGTGATTCCAGATGCCATGTTCTGTCTTCTTATTCTCTTCTGGCTCATTCTTTAGCCTTCGCCCTGTTTGCTCTTCTCTTTCTCCATGAAGCCAAGGTTTATGATCAGGATGGGGGCTGAGATGGGGCAGAGAAGATATAGCAGGAAACCCTGGCTTTGGACTCTGGCAGCTGAAGTCTGAATGCAGACTTGGTGTGCAGAGAGCCAGGGCCGGCACCTTCCCTCTTGGACCTCCGTCCTTACCCAGCAGCATGGAAGCAGCACCTGCCTTCGCCTGCTCTGGGTCCAGTGTTATGGTGTGGATATGGAATATCTCCTCCCAAAGCTCATGTGTTGAAAACATGCTCCCCAATGCGGCAAGGTTCAGAGGTGGGACTTTAAGACATTGCTTAGATCATGAGCACCTTGAGCTCATCAGTGGATTCACTCATGGTTAGCTGAATGGACTACTGGGAGGTGGGACCTAGTTGGAGGGAGCAGGTTCCTGGGGGTGTGCTCTGGAAGGGTTTAACTTCCCCCATCCCTCTCTGTTTCTGCTCCCTGGCTGCCAACAGCTTCACTCAAGATGCCCTTCTGCCATGATGTTTCTGTGGCGGAGTCAGCTGAGCAAGGACTGAAACTTCTGAAACTGTGAGCCCAAATAAATTGTTGCTCATCTAAGTTGCTCGTGTTTGGTATTTTGGTGGTGGCCATGAAAAGCTGACATGGTGAACGCATGGAGGAAGGGGGCGGAGCCCTCCTCGTTTCAAGCCATGCCAGGCTTTGCAACACACCACATGGAGCACTAGGAAGCCCGAAGAGGGTCCCCAATCTCCACTCTGGCTCACACGGCACCTCTGCAGACAAAAGCGTTCAAATTCATTTTATTTCTGACTCATTAGTTTCTGAGCCTCTAGAAAGAATACACAACTATAATGAGTTTTCCTGTTTCCTTCCTATTTTTTTCCAGTATCCATGACAGAGGTTTTAAAAAGCGTTTCTTTATGTATGCATATATATTTATTTACTTAATGTTTCTGAAGATGGTGACACCCACAGGCAAGGGGCACTGGTTCATGCTGCCTGACCATCACGGGTGCTCTTCCCTCTGCAGGAAGCACCCTCCTCCCTATTTCCCTTAAGTCCCACCAGCCCCTCCACCTGCAGCCTGGTCACTTTGCTCTTTTCCTCTGAGCCTGCAGGTCCCCTAGGGCTTCTGTGACTTTCTCCAGTGCTCCAGTTGGGGACTGTAATTTGCTGCCCACAAAAGACTCTGAACGTCACCTGCCCAGGTTCTCATGGTGTACGAACTCCTAGCGGTAGACCTGTCAGCCAGGTCAATATCTTCTCTAACTCTGCATGGGCACCAGTGATGGAGAGGCATCCCCCACATGCAATTTCATGAGACAGTCCCAAGGACCAGCCACAGAGGCTCAAGCAGGCAAATCAAATGCGTCTGCTTCAAATTAAGCCCATATTCTGGTCCAGTGGGGGTAGAGCTTTTTCTTAGCCAATAAATATTAATAAGGAAAATAAACCAATCTTTTAGGCTTCTTCCCCCAGCCGCCACCCCAGGGTTATAAATTATGTACTGCCCCAGTCTGTTTTGACAGCTGTGATAAAGTGGGTTTCAGATTCAGAGAGCGTTTCTCCTGAAAGAATGCAGCATTGAGCATTTTCAGTGCAATTGCCACCTCCTCCTCCCCACCTTCTCCTGTCTAGGAGGAAGACTTGCCTCCAGTAGCTATTTTTTCCTACTCTGAGGCCTTTCTGTTTCCTCTTTGCCAAACAGATTCTCTGTGATTTTTTTTAAAATATTTTCTCACCATGATAACAAACACTCAGGAGGATTTTATGAGGTAAAGCCCTTCAGTGCTGGGTACAATGGGCCATGGTCCCTCCCACGTCCCAGTCCTTGTCCACGCAGATCTTCAAGCTCAGGACCCCGTCCTATATCTGACCACTGAGTCCCCCGAACAGACTCTGAGCATCATTGAGGCCCTGGGCAGCTCCTGCTTCTTTCTGGCTGCTCCAGCTTCCTGTGGCCTCTCTCTTT